AAAAAAAAAAAAAAAAAGCTCTAGCAGGGCTCAAAAATGTTAGCACATGAGCCCCAGAGAGCCTTCACCCTCCTGTTTGGAAGTCGTATATTAGTTAGGTTTATATTTTATACATGTTTATTTGGGCTATTAATTAGAATGAATGATGCTTGGTCTTAACAGCCCAGCTAAAGGGGAAACAAAGTCTCATTAAAAATTTCATTGAAGACAGGGTTTGTTAGACTGCACCTGCAATCCCAGCACTCAGGAGGCTGAGGCAGGAGGATCACCATGAATTTGAGGCCAACCTAGGCCACATAGTGAGTTCAAGGCCAGCCTGCATTACATAGGGAGACCCTATCTCAAACAATCCAAAAAAAGTAAAAAGGGGGGAAAAAAGAATCTCATTTATCCCCTTTAGCCCGCTTCTGAAGACTCAAAGGGAAATGAATATTTAGACCTTCAGTGGGGTGTTCAGAGGTGACAGAGTCTTAACTACAAATGCGTGAAGTGGAGATTCTTGTGTGATTTACTTAAGAAAGAAAACTTTTGGCAGAAGTATGCAATGATTCTTAGAACGGGCACATTTCCGGTTAAGATGAGGACCACAGGGGGAGGAGTCTTCAGAGACCGGATAGGGTCACCCAGGGAGCGCGGCACCAGTGTTACGACTGTACACGTACGGGCAGCGCCCCCTGTGCTCGGCAGTCCGAGCCGCAGAGCTGTCCACAGACCTGTGTGCCACTGCTGCCTTCACGGGTGCCTGGCCGGGCTCACCACCTGCTCCTGAGACTTTCCCTCCCCCCGCGCAGGCCAGACCGGGGCTCAGGGAGACGGGTGCCGCCACTTCCCGCGTGACACGGCCCAGCATTGCTGTCGCTCCATCCGCCAGGCTGGACAGCCTCTGACCACGGGGTGCTGGACGCAGCACTGACAGCCCCATCAGTGTGCTGCTTACCAGCAAGCTTGTTGCTTCATTAGTGTTAAATAGGGGAACTATGCTTAGGAACGTTCTGAGCAATCGGAGTGGCATTGTGTTTGGGTGGATTTCTTTTTTTTTGTGCACTGGAGACAAATTTTAGAATAGAATTCCACACGGCAGGTGCATTAATTCGCTTTCCTGTGGCTGGGGCGAAATACCCAAAACCCACACCTCAAAGGAGGAGAGGATTATTTTGGCTCATGGTTTAGGGGGCTTCGGTTTGTAGTCGGCTGACTCGGAGGCAGAAACAGCAGGGTGGAAGAGCCTGACAGGAGCCAGCTCTCACCCCTTGGCAGCCGGGAAGCAGAGAGACAGGAAAGAGCTGGGCGGGGAACCCACCCTTCTGACTCAAGGCCTCGGAGACGCAGCACTCTGGCCAGGGTCCGCCTCCTAGCGAGACTTCTGGAGGACGTCTTGGGTCTAAACCACAGCGGCGGGCATGAGATGTTCTTGGTGCCTGTTTTACGCATGTGGTTAAACATAATTTTGGAGAATTCTAAACTTCAGACTTCCACCTGGATCGCCTCAGTGCATCCCGAGTCTGTGAGCTGAGGATGAAGGTGCTACAAAAGCTAAGGGTGAATAGGAGGGCCCTTCCCACGCTTAGTCCTGGATGTCATCGTGCTGTTATCTCGCCTTCCACCACTACAGCTTGATTTCTTCCGTCGTGTTTCTAGAGTTTCATATTCTTCCTAGGACGTTTGCTATCTCACAAAGAGCTCTTAATGTTGCCCTACAGGTTCATTGGTTCTGTTTTGTTTGATTAACTCTGTACCAAAGCATGACAGTAACCTGAAATTTGGACTACTTGCTCTTTCCCTTAATCAGTTACCGGGGGAGGTATGTATTCCTTCTCCTTGGAGCTTTTTGAAAGTCCCTTAGTGAATTTTCCTTGCTTACTTATCACCATACTCTAATACCTCCATGTAAAGGTGAGATTTAAAAAAAAAAGATTTAGACTGAAGTGTGAAAATTAAGTGAAGACTTTAAAGGGCAGGTTTTTCTGTCTTGCTGTTTCTAGTGGGTAGTAGGGAATTTTTCTGTTGATTGTTTTCAAAATTCCTTGAAACAACCAAGGTTTTGCTGTTACTGTAATTGGCAGAAAAAAGGAAAACAATAAAACGCCGCTGTAAGAGTTTCGTTTCATTTACGCTTGGTATCTAGGCCGTCGAAAAGTGAGTAGGTGGATAGTGTTAGATGGCCATTGATCGATCCCAGAGGTTTACCACTGTGCAGATAATGTGAGAATTGTGTAGGTGCTTCTGACTGCTCTAACGTGGTTTGCCATGTCTATCGATTTCTTTAGGCTTTCGCTGGTAGTTTGAAGTTTTAGATCTAATCATGTCGGGTTGCATCACTTTTATTAAATGATGCCAAGGAAGAGGTTTCTGGGGACACCAGTGAATCTTCAGGTCTCTTGCCCTGGCAGTAATTCAGCCACTGATGGGAGCCATTGTTTTCAGAAGTGTAGTGAGCAACTCTGCCTTCAAAATGATTATTTCCAAGTTAAAGTGAACTGAGGCTTGTGGAAGGCCCCTGAGTGAGTGCAAAGAATGCTGTTGGGAACGCCTTTGCCATAATCCAGTAGGCCTCCTGTAAGCAAATAACGGGATGTGTATTCTGTGCTCTGAAATGTCTCTCTGTGGCAGTAACTGTCCCATTTTATTTCTGTTACTTGCAGTTTTGTCTCCTGGTCTGCAGTGTGTGCACATTTTTTACAATCTTGGGAAGTTACATTCCTGGGGTTATCCTCAGCTATCTACTGTGTAAGTATAGTAGAATATTTCGCCCGATTTCTTTGGTGCAGATTTAATCACTTAGTGGCCAATAGACTTTCCATAGTTTGGAAGAGGATGCACAAGTTCTTCGCAGTCACAAGTTGATTGTTTCTCAATGTCTTACTGTACAGAGGTTTCCTTTTTTCCTAGAGATATCTTGGGAAGATAGCTGCAAAAGGCAGATTAAGATTTGGCTGGGGATTTAGGTCAACAGTTCTGCTGCCTGCCTTGCAAGCACAAGGACCCGAGTTCGATCCTTGGTACAAAAAAAAAAAAAAATGCTTGTATTTTAAATTATGTCAGTGAAGCTATAAATAAGCAGCATGCCCCCCCTACCCCAGTACATCAGTCCTTTGGCCTTTTTCTCATGCTCTGTGGTTCAAAACAATAAAACTACAATGCGATATCACTGTGTGTACTTCTGCCAGAATGGCTAAAATGAGAACTACTGACCATATGGAGTATTAGGAAGAAGACAGAGCAAGTGTAATTCTCACATAATGAGCTGGAGAGGAGGCAGATTCTGCTGTGTGACTCAGCCGTCCCATAGCTAGGTAGATGCCCAAGAGGAATGCAAACACGCATCCGCAGAGACTTACGCACAGATGTTCACAGCACAGTTATTTACGTAGCCCGAAGTGCGATACCATCCATAGGGCCATCAACAGATGAGTGGATAAATCGTGGTGTACCCATACAATGGATTACTCCTGAGCGCTAAACATGCAACACTAGGCTAAATCTCGAAGCCACATAAAGAGTTATATACCGTAGATTCTATTTGAGTGTATCTAGAAAATTCACAGTACTCTAGTGACCAAGCAGATCAGTGGTTGAGCTGCAGGGAGGGGAGGAGAGGCAGGATGCAGAAGGAAAGGATTAATGAAAACATGAAATGTGAGGGGGCAGTTAGTAGGTATCTTGGCCCTGGTGATGGCCTTTTGGTTACAAGCATCTGTCAAAATTTATCATGCGGTACACTTTATGTGCAATCTATTGTATGTCAACTATAACTAAAAAAGTCATTGTGAAGTGTAGGGTTCCTGAAAAATATGAAGGTCTGACATTGCTAATCTTTGGTGAGGCAGGCAGTGTCACCTGACTTAGATTTACCGAAAGGTAGTCAAGATACTTCAGCTTTGCTCCTGTTTTATTTTTTATTTTTTTGGTACCGGGGATTGAACTCGAGTCCTTGCACTTGCAAGGCAGGCCACCAAACTGCTGAGCTAAATGCCCGGCCTGCAACTGCTGTTCTAAAAGGTAATGGGAGACACCTCCTAACTACAAGTGAAGTGAGCCCTGAGGAGCCCAGTGTGTCCAGCACGGAGGTCTTTATCTCACTGTGTATTCCCAACACGTACACAAATGGCACAGGGTTGACGTTCAAACCCTGCTTCCAGACAGAGCCCCCATGAAACATCAGCCTCCTGATCTGCATTATTTAGGACCTGCATTATTATTAGAAAAGAATAGTGCAGGGGAAGGAGACATAAGAGCAAGGCGCTTTTCAGATGGCTTGATTTTATCTCACGTGGCAGAGCAACTTCAAGCGGTGTGACCCCAGTGTCACTGAAGACAGAGAAGATAGCAGGTTTCCCACGGCAAAATGCCACGTAGTAAACAGTGATGCGGTTCTAACCCAGGGCGGCTGTCTGGAAAACACAGAAACTTTCTGAAGTGTTCAGAGTGAAGGGATTGAGAGGAGAGAGGGGATCCAATTATAAGTGTAAAAAAACCGTGACCATGAGCATGGTGTGTGTGTGTATGTGTGTGTGTGTGTGTGTGAAATGCAGTAAAACATTTTTATTACAGGGGAGGAGTAGGAATGAGGAACTTGTTTCACAAAGGCATTTTCCTTAAGAAAGAAAACTTCTATTTTTTTTAAACAAATTTCATGATTTGTGAAATAGTAAAAAAGGAAGGGTGTTTTACCTTTATTCTCTTCCTTTTATGTTTCAGTACTGTTTGCATTTCTGTGTCCACTGTTTAAATGTAATGATATCGGACAAAAAATCTTCAGCAGAATCAAGTCAGTTCTGCTGAAACTAGATTTTGGAATTGGAGAATATATTAATCAGAAGAAACACGAGAGGTCTGGTAAGTAAAGTTTGAATCTTAGAGTCCGTGCGTGAGACACCAGCCGTCTATTGTGAGATTGTCAACAGAGTTTTAGGGCAAAAGCCCCGGCTCTGGGCGTCCCTGTCCAGGCCCGGCTGCCCATCTCATAATGCCCACAGGGAGACAGCAGTGGTGAGGGCAGGGTCGGAGCTTTGAGCAGTGTGGCCAGGCCAGGGGGCACTGGTAAAAGACGCTCAAGAGGTGTCTTTGAGGGCCTGGGGGTTTGTAGAAGGCAGTGCTGGCTGGCACCTCAGGACTGATTCTGTGGGCCCCGGCGAGCCCTTCTTGCCACAGGGCCATGCTCCCCATCCCAGGACAGCAGCCTCGCTCCCATCCTGGGGCTCTGTACCTGCTGGGGTGCGGGGCTCTGCTCATCCAGGCCTCTGAGGTGGCTGCAGCGTTCAGGACTTGAAACTCCTAGGTATTGCTGCAGGGAGTCTGGAACTTGGCATTGTACCAGCTGGCCGCTAGGTTGGACCATTTTCACCCAGCTACATCATTCATTCATTGAGACCTGGTCTTTCTAAGGTGATAAATTGCTCAGGCTGGGCTCGAGCTTGTGACCCTCCTGCCTCAGCCTCCCAGGGTGCTGGGATTATAAACACACATTACCATACCCAGCTGATCAGCCTGGACCTGATCCTCCTGTCAGGTCCTAAGGGAGGCACCGGAAGCAAGGGCAGAGATGTCCCACTCCACCTGCTTTCATTTACACCTTTACACCTGCGGGCCCAGCTCCCAGGTCCTTACTGCAATGGCCTTTAATACATTTTAGGGTGCTTTGGGCTTCTTATTAAATATTATCGTGGAAGCTACCCCTCCCCCAAATGATCTATGTAACTATTCCTTTTTAGGGTTTTACTCTTTTCTCAAACATAGTTAAATAAATCGACCTTCAAATCCCAGTTTTTGAGGGAGGAAGGCTTTGCCGAGTGTGTATTTTCCCATTCATTGTTTCCTTTGTGCTCGGCTGATCTGCTGAACTGCAGCTAAAAATGCCGCGGCAGAGATAGAGTATGGAAACCATGTGAGAAGGGCTCAATAGCCAGAGAGAGAAAACACCGGACAAAGCAGCGTGAGGGCTCCGACATTGCCCCTCGGCCTGTGGCCCTGCAGGTTCTCAGGGCATCCCATGCCTCAGCGTGGCCCGGAGGACTCAAAAGGTCAGACTGGGTGAGAGTCTCGGTTCAGTAGGTCAGATGCAGGCCCAGAGAACTGGCGTTGCTAAGAGCTTCCCGGGGCTGCAGCTGCTGCTGGTTGCCCACAGAATTGATAATAAAGACCGCTGCTTTTGGAAATCAGATATCCTGCAAATACGCGAGGCTTCTCATGATTTGCAAACATGTAAAGGTTCTATTTTAAGGGGCTCTTTTTTTTTTTTTTTAGTACCAGGAATCGAACTCAGGGCCTCATGCTTGCCAAGCATCAAACGTGTAAAGGTTCTTATGTACAAGCATGTTTGTTTTTTCTATACTGGGGATTGAATCCAGGGCCTGTGCACTAAGCTGTATCCCAGGGCCTTTTTATTTTTTTACTTTTTTTTTTTGTTTTTTGAGACAGGGTCTCACTATGTAGTTGAGACTGAACTGGAACTTACTATGTAGCCCAGGCTGGTCTCAAACTCACAGGGATCCTCCTGCCTCAGCCTCCGTGGGATTACAGGCGTGTGCCACCACGCCCAGCTTTATTTTTTACTTTGAGACAGGGTCTCACAAACTTACTTAAGTTGCTCAGGTTGGGGTCAAACTTGGCAATCCTTCTGTCTCAGCCTCCTACAATTCTGGGACTGCAGGGATGAACTACCACAATCTCATCTTGTGCAAGTATTTAACTAGGCATTGAAGGATATAGGGAGTGTGGGGTAAGAATATTTAATAAAATAAATACACCAGGAAACTGAAGGCTTCCCATTTTCTTTTTCTCCACAGAAGCAGACGAAGAAAAATATCACAAAGATGACAGTGAATTAGACTTTTCTGCTCTTTGTCCTAAGGTATTTTTGTTTAGTTCTCAATTTGTTTCTGTGGTTTGACTATACATTGATTTATGTGCACCAAAGCCGAATGATTTTCCTAATAGTTTCGGTCATCTGAACAACCTCAAAGGAATAAATAGTCATCTGTTTTTATTAGTATGACATTGGGAGATTAGTGTTGATTTTTCAGAAAACTTTCCTCTGCAGTTTAAAAATGTGCCACTGTGTTCATATTAACACAGATCAGCCTTACAGTTGCTGCCAAAGAATTATCGGTGTCTGACACAGACGTCTCAGAAGTATCTTGGACTGATAACGGGACCTTCAACCTGTCAGGAGGATATACTCCGCAGACAGACACTTCCGATGGTATGCTGGTCTTTCTAGATAGACTCTTATTTTTATTATTGAGTGCATGTAAAGACATTTCTGTCAGCCACTCAGTAAATAATACAGTTTGATATACAGTGCAGTTAATACTTGGCTATAAAAGTGACCGAAGTACTAATTCTTATTACAGCATGGATGGAACTTGAAAACACTATGCTGAGTAGAAGATGCTAAAGATAAAAGGCTACACATCGTGTAATTCCCTTAATAGGCAATGTCCAGAAGAAGCAAGACTGTGCAGATGTAGCGTAGTGGTTACTAGGGACATGGGGAGAAGGGAATGGCGTCTGATGGTAGAAGTTTCTTTAGGGAGTAAGGAAATTTCTGGTATTGGTGTCATGCTTGAACAGCTTCATGACTACACTAAAACTTCCTTACACACTTTTAAAAAGTAAATTTTATGATGTTCATAATATCTCAAACACTTTTACTTTTTAAAAAGCATGATCTCTGGTTCCAAAAAATAAAAATAAAAAGTATGAGAAAAAAAATCTTAGCCATGTCCAAATCTACCTTTATTTTGAAAATTAAAAATTTCAAAATTAACAAGATTACCCTCTGAGATGTCTGGAAGCATTGCTTGTAGCAATAATGGGAGAAGAAAAAGAGAAAAACTAATCCTGTATCATCAGACTTCGTATTCATTGTTTTTTTTTTTTTTTTTTTTTTTTTTTT